CAGGGCCGTGGAGCAAGCTGCTCTAGTGGAAGGTGTCCCTGCCCGTGCCTTTGGGGGCTGGAGCTGGCTGAGCTTTAAGGTCCCTTCCAGCCCACTCTGGGATTCCATGATTCTCTGCTGTGCCAATGTCGGTCCCTCTCCACTCCTCGTAGGTGGCCGTGACGCCCTGTTCCATGGCCCACGTTGAGCTGTGACCCCTCGCATGCTCCACCTCCGGACCAAAGGCACTGAGAAAGAGCAGCCCGTGAGGGACCTCCCCGAGCCGGCTGGGCAGAGGCTGGTCCCCCTGCAGCGACTCCCGGAGCACCCCTGGGTGCCCAGAGGTCATGGGCACGATGCTGCCGCCATCCCAAAGCCCCAGTGATCTGTGGGGTGGTCTCTGGTGGCTGTAGCCCCTGTTTGAGGCCTCCATTTGTCCCCTGCAGAGCTTGGGTGCATTCCCATGAACCTCCAAATCCTCCTAAACCTCCAGTTCCCTTCCGAACCCCAAATCCCTTCCATTTACTGCCATGGGCCAACAGGGGCACTAAAGACTCAGGGTACTCTGGGTCAAATGTAACCCCTAGCTTTGGGACACTGGCTGTTCCCCAAATCCCTGCACCACCCCAGGGAGCTTTGGGGATCTCCCCCAATGCCGAAATCCCCTCTGAACCCCCAAATTCTTCCCCTCAACACATCTCCATGCTGGGGGAATGTTGCTCACTCAAAAGCGACTGAGGGGGCCCTGGGACCCAGGTACATGGGGATCTCCCAATATAATGTGCCCCCTACAGCACATTTTGGGGATCCCCCCCTGAACCTCAAAATGTTCCTTGAACCCTCAAATCCCTCTGAACACCCAAATTCCTCCCGCTTCTGTCAACGGGGCTCCCTAGGGCATCCAATGTGATTCGGCTGCCCTGGGATTGATGGACACCCCCAGTCTCGGTAGACAGGGAGTCCCCCAAATAAATGAGCCACCCCAAAGAGTTTTGTGGACCAGCCTGAATCCCCAAATCCCCCCAAACCCAAAGCCCACAGCGCCAAAGCCGCCCCGGCTCAGCACAGTGGCACAGACTTGCTAAAAAAGGGGTGTTCCGAAAAGTGGTGTTCCCCCAACACCTGCCCTGGGGATCCATCAAGATGCTCTGGAACCCCGAACACACTGGGGGGACCCCAACATTGCTTTCGGTTCAGTAGTGAATTAGGTGGGCCTAAGGGGGTGGATCCCCAAAAGGGTCACCCCAATAAAGGGGCAAACCAAAACCACACTGCACCCCAAAGGGCCCTGGAGGCACCCAAAGCAATCGTGGTGCCCCTAAATCCTAGCGTAACCCCAAATCTCCCTGAAGCAGCACAAAAGCAGGCAGGACCCCCAAGTGGGGGCCTGGGGCAGCACAATGTCACCCACACCCTTCCATCACCCCGGGCCCCCCCAGATGAACCCAGGGACCCAAAAACCTGGAGGAGCCCCACTAAACACCCGCCCCCAACTGAGGGTACCCCAGAAAAGCTGCTCCCCCCCTCCAATGCCACCCAGCCCCAAATTGCTCCTCGTTGCCCCCAAACCACACCCCATGGGGCACCCCAGCTCCCCCATCCCTGGTATCAGGGAGTTGGGGGGGCCAGCCCCAGAGTGGGGGTTGCCTAATTTGGGATATCCCACCAAAAGACCAGGGAGGTGTGGTGGGGGATGGAGGGTAGGAAGCTCTGCAGAGGGATCTGGGCAGGCTGGATCCACGGGCTGTGGCCAATGTGTTGAGGGTCAAGAAGGCAAAGTGCAGGGTCCTGCACTTGGGCCACAACAACCCCCTGCAATGCTCCAGGTTTGGGGAAGAGGGGCTGAAAACTGCTCATGGGAAAGGAGCTGGGGGTGCTGATTGATGGAGCTGAACATGAGCAGCTTGTGCCCAGGCAGCCAGGAAGCCACCAGCATCCTGGCCTGGATCAGCACCAGTGCGGCAGCAGGGCCAGGGCAGTGGTTGTGCCCCTGCACTGAGCACTGCTGAGGCCGCACCTCGAATCCTGGGTTCACCTCTGGGCCCCTCACTACAAGAGAGACATTGAGGTGCTGGAGGGGGGCCAGAGAAGGGCAGTGGAGCTGGTGCAGGGCCTGGAGCACAAATGTGATAGGGAAGGGCTGAGGAACCTGGGGGGGACCTGATCACTGCCTACAACTGCCTGAGAGGAGGATGGAGCCAGGAGGGGCTGGGCTCTGCTCCCAAGGAACAAGGGATGGGACAAGAGGAAATGGCCTCAAGCTGCACCAGGGCAGGTTTAGATGGAGCTGAGGAAGAATTTCTCCGGGAAGCTAGGGACCAGGTTAGGAAAGCTGAGACCCAGTTAGAATTCAGATAGGCTCGGGATGTTAAGGATAACAGGAAGGGATTCTTCAGGTATGTAGCAAATAAAAAACAGACTAGGGACAACATAGCCGCCTTCCGGAAGCTCTCGGGAGAACTGGCTACACGGGATTTGGAGAAGGCTGAGGTTCTGAATGACTTCTTTGCCTTGCTCTTCACTGGCAAAGGCTCTGACCACACCACCCAAGTCTTGGAAGGCAGATGCAGGGACTGTGAGAATGAAGACCTTGGGCCCACTGTAGGAGAGGAGCTGGCTCGAGACCATCTTAAAAACCTGAACATGCACAAGTCCATGGGGCCTAATGAAATCCATGCACGAGTCCTGAAGGAGCGGGCGAATGAAGTTGCTAAGCCACTGGTCTTCATATTTGAAAAAACATGGAAGTCAGGTGAAGTTCCCGATGACTGGAAAAAGGGAAATATAACCCCCATTTTCAAGAAGGGGAAAATGGATGACCTGGGGAATGACAGAGCAGTCAGTCTCACCTCTGTGCCTGGCAAAAGCTTGGAGCAGATTCTCCTGGAAGGCATGCTAAGGCACATGAAAATCAACAAGGTGCTTGGTGACAGCCAGCAGGGCTTCACTGAGGGGAAATCCTGCCTGACCAATTTGGTGGCCTTCTATGATGGGGCTACAGAACTGATGGACAGGGGTAGAGCAGTTGATGGCATCTACCTGGACTTGTGCAAAGCGTTCGACACTGTCCCACACAACATCCTTGTCTCTAAATTGGAGAGACATCAATTTGATGGACGGACCACTGGGTGGATAAAGAACTGGCTGGATGGCTGCACACAAAGAGTTGTGGTCAATGGCTCAATGTCCGGCTGGAGACCAGTAACGAGTGGCGTCCCTCAGGGATCGGTGTTGGGACCGGTCTTGTTCAACAGCCTGCGGCCGTTACAGGGGGCGGAGTCAGCTGAGGGGAGTTGAGGGGGTTACTCTCCCACCCTGCACTCTGATTGGCTCCGCTGTGCAGTGGGCGGAGCCAGGCGCTGATTGGCTGCCGTGGAAGTGGGCAGGGCGACAAGAACAGAGCGCGCGTTGGCTGGGGGGGGAAAGGAGGGAGATGGGGGGCGATGGGACCCCTATGGACCCCTATAGAACCCTATGGGGCAGGGGCAGGTTCACACCCACTGCTGGCTCCATGGCTTTATATGGGGGCAATGGCTGTAATGGGGCAATGGGAGCAATTTGGGGTCACGGGGGGTAATGGGGGTAAAGGGGGGGTCTCGGGGTCTCGAGCTCTGCCCACTGCATCCTGGTACTGGAGCTGCTGCTGCTTCCCCCTCCAAGGGACTCGTAAAGAGATCCCCCCCTCCATGGTCAGACCCTGCAGGGACCCAAAGAGACCCCATAGAGAGACCCATAGACACCATATAGACCCACAGCCCACAGAGACTCATAGAGGCCCATAGACACCGCAGAGAGCCAGAAAGCGACCCAAAGTGAACCATAGAGACCCCCACAGAGACCCCATAGAGACCCCATAGAGAGCCATAGACTACAGGGACTACAACCCTTATCATGCAACGCGGCACCCATAGAGTCCCTTTACGGTGGCGTCCAGCCGGGACTACTACTCCCATCATGCAGCGCGGCACCCATAGAGCCCCATTATGGCGGCGCCCAGTTATGACTACAACTCCCATCATACCCCGCGGCTCCCATAGAACACCATTATACAGCCGCCAGGTGGTAGTACGACTCCCATCATGCCGCGCGGCAACCAGAGAGCACCAGGAGGGCGGTGCCCAGCCTGGACTACAACTCCCATGATGCAGTGCGACACTCCTACAGCACCACTAAGGCGGTGCCCGGCTTGGACTACAACTCCCATCGTGCCGCGCGGCGCTCCCAGCGCGCCAATTTCGGCCATGATACATCATGGGCCACGTGCGGCACCCGGGGTGAGGGGGGCACCCCAACATCTGGGGGGGAGGAACTGCAACATCTGGAGGGACACCAAACCTCGGATCAGTCCCTAAAATACCCGGGGGGGGGGGGGTTGTTCCTATAGGAATGTGAAGAAGATCAAAGGGAACCTGCTGTGGTATCCGCTGCACCGCAAAAAGGGGGGGGGACCCCGAAAATGCCCCCTCTGGGGACCCCCAAGCTCATTGGGGAGCCTCCAAAATCCCTCAGGACCCCCCCAAACCCCTTTTGCCTGTTAGGATCCCCCCCCAAAATTGCATTGGGATCCCATGACCCCCCCCAACACCCCCCAATTCCCCCCTGTGGCCCCCCCCCCAACCCCTTTTATTCTCCTAAATCCATGCACAGGAGCCCCTAATTTCTTTAGGACCCCTCCAAATCCCATTGGGATCCCCAGGAACCCCCAATTCCTTCCCATGATCCCCCCCCCAACCTCTCCTTAACACCCCCCCCCCCCCGTTTCTTCCTTAACTCGGGGCTCAGGTACTGGCACCTCGAGGAGATTCAGGTTTGGGGGGGGAGGGTTTGGGGGGGTCTGTATGGGGTTTTGGGGGGTCCCAGAGGGATAGGGGGGGGGGTGGGGGGTTTGGGGGAGGCAAATATGGGGGGGGCAAGATTTGGGCCAGGGGTGGGCCAATTTGAGGGGTGGTGGAGGGAGAAAAAATGGTGCTTAAGGATGGGGGTGGTGGTGTCCTCAGGTGACCTTTGGTGTCTCTCCCCAGCGAGGGGCGGGGTCAAGCACGCCTTATATGGAAGTGCGCGAGGCCTTGGAGCAGGTGAGGGCGGAGCTTAAAGTGATGGGCGGGGCCGTGGGCGAGGCCGGAGCAGCGGTGCTGAAGCTGGGTGAGTTCATTGGGGGGGCGGTGGGGTGGGGGGTAAAGGGGCGGGGCTACCGGTCACCTGACCTGAGGCTCTGCCCCCTTTGTTCCCTTATAGAAGAGGCACTGGGGGCGGAGCTTCACCGCCAGGGGGCGGAGCGTCGCCGAGGGGCGGAGCTTCGGGCCCTGGGGGCGGAGGCAGCGCAGGAGGGGTGGAGGCTGCGGAGGGAGGGGGCCCAGATAAGCTCCGCCCACCGGTGAGCGAGGAGGGGGCGGGGCTTCCCCATGGGTATCCCAATGGGAGCGGGGGGCAGCATTCCCATGATGCTCTGCGCTTGCAGGGAGCCGGGGCCAAAGGTGGGACTAACGTCGAAATTGGCGGTAAGAAGGGGCGGGGCTTATTGGGAAGAAGGAGGGGCTTATGGACGGGGCAGGGGTCTGAGCGTGGCCACGTCCCCATTGCCCCGCCCCCTCCCCTTCCCTCCCCCAGGCCGTGTGCAAGCTGCGGGAGGAGGCCCTGGAGGAGCTGCTGGGGCTCCGCCCCTTGTCGAGGTAAGCCCCGCCCCCTTCGGGGCAAGCCCCGCCCATTGCTGCCATAAACCCCTCCCTGTCCATCACCCCCCCAACCCCCCTGCCCTTCCCATTGCCCCCCCAGGCCGCAGGACCTCACCTTGCTCTGGCTGCAGGAGGCCAAGGTGGGTGCCCAAGGGGGGAGGGTGGGGGGGGAGGTGACTGATCCTAACGGTCATGTGACCCCCCCCCCCCCATGTGACCTGACACCCCCTTCACCCCCCCCACCAGGCACTGCTGAACCAACACAGCCCAGAGGAGGTGCTGGAGGCCCTGCAGACACTGCGGTGAGGGGAGGGGCTTAGGAGAAGGGAGGGGCTTAGGAGGGGTGGGGCTTTGGGAGGGGGTGGAGCTTAGGGAAGGGGCAGAGCCAGTGGGCAGCTGGGGGTGCGGCTTAAAGGGGGCAGGACTTCCCTTATAAGGTTCTGAGGGTGTGGCCCCAGGGCACTAGGGAAGGGGTGGGGCTACCGGTTGGTGAAGCCAACAGAGGGGCGGGGATTGCATCCTCCCCCCCTCCCCCCTTGTTCCATTGCAGGAAGGGGTACCCCAAAATCAGCCCTGACCTTGACCCTGACCCTGATGCTCAGCCCCCTATGAAGACCCTCATCCAGGTAAATGGGGGGACTTGAGGGGCACATTTGGGGGTGCTTTAGGGCTCAGAGCTCCCCACTGATGTGGGGTCCCCCTTTTGCACCCCCCAGGACTGCTGGGAGGATGTGGGGGGACTCTGGGACCTCATCCACTCCTCGGCCTCCCGCCTGTCCCCCCTGAGGCTCCGGCTCCTCCAGCTGCAGGAGGAGATCCAGCAGCGCCTGGAGGGGGACCCCAAAGCCCAGCAGGCTGCCAGGTAAAACCCTGCACCCCAAAACACCTCCCTGAACCTCAAAACCACATGTGCACCCCAAAACACTCCCCCTGCATCTCAAAACACCCCGCTGCACCCTAAAACCATCCCCCTGCACCCCAAAACACAGCCCCTGCATCCCAAAACAACCCCTCCACATTCCAAAACCATCCCCTCTGCACCCCAAAACACCTCCCTGCACCCAAAAACCACATGGTGCACCCCAAAACACTCCCCTGCATCGCAAAACCCCCCTGCACCCCAAAACCATCCCTGCTGCACCCCAAAACACACCCCCTGCATACCAAAACAAACCCCTACACACCGAAACTATTCTCCCTGCACTCCAAAACAATCCCCTGCATCACAAAACTCCCCCCTGTACACCGAAACCACCCTCCTGTACCCCAAAACACACCTGCACCCCAAATGTACCCTCCCTGCACCCCAAAACAACCCCCGTGAAGCCCAAAACGGCCCCTCTCTGCATACCAAAACACCCCCTCTGCACCCCAAAACCCTCTCAAGGACCCTCCCAAATGCATCCTGCAGCCCAGTTTCACCCCCTGCACCACAAAACTGCCCCTGGGCCCTCCCCCGTGACCTTTTCCTCCCCACTCCTGAACCTCAAAACCCTTTAGGGGCCCCCTCTATACTTTAAACGCCCCTGGGTTTCCTTCTGAAGTGGGTGCTGAGCTCATAGGGGTCCTTAAAGCCCCCCCAGATTCTCCCTAAACCCAGTGCTGAGACCCTTTGGGGTGCCCTCAACCCCTCCATGTTCCCTGCAGCCCTTTTAGGGTGTCCCCCCCCCAAAAAAGTGTTCTGGAACCCTTTGGGTCCCCCAAGCTCCCCTCAGCGTTTGGCTTTGGGGTCCCGTTGCCCCCCAGGTTGATGCTGGAGGCCGTGGGGCTCTCAGTGGCTCGGGAGGCCCTGATCCAGCAGGTCCAGGATCTACGGGGCAGCCCCATGGACTCCCCAGAAGCTGCCCTGGGGCCACTGAGGAGGCAGCTACAGGAGGGGAAGCAGCGGCTGGTGGGTGCCAACGGGGGAATATGGGGATTTGAGGGGGGTCCTGATGGGCTTGGGGGGGGGGTCTGGGAAGTGGAATTTGATGGTTATGGGGAGGGGTTGGGGTCCCTAAAGGGTCCCAGCGCTGCTTTTTGTGAGGGTTCGGGATATTTGGGGGTCCTGGAGGGGGATTTTGGGTCTATAAGGGATGATATGGAGGAGTCTGGGGCTTTAGGGGGGATTTTGGGGGTTCAGCAGTGCTGGGAGGGGTATCTGGGGCTTATGGATGGGTTTGGGGTGAAGGGAGAGGTTTTGGGGAGAAATATGGGGCGATATTTAAGGTGTTTGGGGGGTATTTGGGTCCCTCCCATGGCTTTGGGGTCCCTCATTTCCTTGTGTCCCCCCCCTCCATCCCTTCCAGTCCCGCCGCTGGATCCAGCTCCGGGCTCTGGCCGCATCCAATGGGAAGCTCCGGGCGCAGCTGCGCCTCCTGCAGGCCCAGGTGAGCAAAGAGGGGGAGGAAAGTGGGGCGGAGCTTAATGTGAGTGGGCGAGGCCTCAGAGCTTTGGCCACGCCCCTTTCAGGCCCGAGGAGCTGTGCGGCTCCCCCCAGGGCTGCAGGGGGAAGGGCAGCGGCTGCAGGAAGCGCTGAGCATGCTGGGAAAGGAGAGGGTGCCCCTCCCCCCGAGGTGAGTGAATTGGGGGGGGGAAGGTTTGTGGGGGAGGGGGGGGAAGGGCTGTGCTGACCCCTCCATTCTCCCTTTAGCCCCGCCCACAGCCCACTGCAGCCAATCAGACGCGCCCTAGGAATGGCAGAGAGTGAGGTGGGGGAGGGGCCATAAAGGGGGAGGAAAATGGGGGGAGGGGCCATAAAGGGGGAGGGGAATTTGAAGGAGGGGCCATAGAGGGGGCAGGGGTCATAAATGGGGGAGGGCCATAAACGGGGAGGGGCAATGAAAGGAGGGGCCATAAAGGGGGGAGGGGCAATGGGGCCGTTGCTCAGGGGTGTTTGTGCCTCAGCCCCCACAAGGGGCGCTGTTGTGGCATCAGAGCTGCAGGGGAGCTGGAACAGCTGCAGGGGGCGTGGTCAGCGGAAGGGGAGTGGTCAGCTGAAGGGGCGGACCCCTGAAGCCCCGCCCACCCCGCGGTGAGTGAAGGAGATGGGGGGGTGAGCGTGTGGCCTGCGCTGACCCCGCCCCTTTGCAGCCTGGTCCCAGGCCACCCATGCTCTGAACTTGCACCGCCCCCTCCCCTTAGCCCCGCCCACCAGCGACGAGGAAGGGTGTGACCAGAGCAAGCCCCACCCCTGAGCCTCGGTTTCATCAGATGCTCCTATTGGATGGGGTGCAGGAGGCGGGGCTTGGAGGAGTGCGGGGCCACAAGGCTGAGGTCCTGGAAGCGGAATAGAGTAGGTCCTATAGAAATAAAGCAGTAAATAAAGCAGGTCCTGTGTTAATTATATGTAAATGAGGTTGCACCCATGTTAATGAGATGCAAAGCATGTCTCCTGTTAATAAACTCGTCCTGCCTACAATAACAGCATGTCAACAAAGCAGAGCCTCCAATAACAATGCACAGATAATGTGTGGCCTACAGTAAAACATAAATAAAGCAGGTCCTACAGTAACGAAAGTGTTAAACAAAGCAGGTCCTGACATAATAAATTCCCTAATCAAGCAGGACCTACAATAACAGCCTGGGAATAAAGTAGGACCTACAGGAATATGTAAATTAGACAGGCTCTATATTAATAACAGGTACATAAAAGTAGATCCTACATTAAGAACTTGTAAATAAGTTACTTAGTAAAGCGGGTCCTGACATAACAACCACCCCCGATACAGTAGGTCCTACAGTAATGAAACTGTAAATACAACATATGAATAAAGTAAGCCCTACATTAATAACTCCCTCAACAAATTGGGTCTTACAATAATACCTCCCCGATAAAGTAGGACCTACAATAAGGGCCCATAAATGAAGTAGGTCCTGCCCCAATACCCTGTCAATAGAGCAGATCCGACAGCAACTGTACATAAAATAGGTCCTACATTAATAAGTGAGTAAATACAGGAGGTCCTGGCACAGCACCATGTAAATACAGGAGGTCCTACAGTAAGAACGTGCAAATACGAGTGGCTCCATGTTAATGACATGTAAATAAAGCAGGTCCTCCACTAAAAGGACACAAATTAAGTAGGCCCTCCATTAATAACATGTAAATAAGGAAGTGTCTGTGTTAGTAACATTTAAATAAGGTCAACCCTACATGAACTGCGTGTGAGTAAAGCAGGTCCTAGGCTAATTGCATGTAAATAAGGGGGGGGGTAACGGTGGGATGAGAAATGGAGAGGGATGGAGGGAGAGGGGGAGAAATGGCAGGAATGTGGGGAATGGGGGTGGGAAAAAGGGGGAGGGGGAATGGGGGGGCATAAGGGGGGGAGGGGAAGAGGGGACAAATGGGGGGGCAGGGGCAAGGAAAAGCCCCATATTCAGCCCCATGGGGGGCAGCCGGGACGGGGTTAAATGGGGACACGAGTTGGGGAGCTCAGAGCTCATTGGCTGTTGCCTGGGCAAGGGTCGCCAGATCGAGGCTGGAGGGGGGGGGGCAAGGTTGCCTGGCAACGCGCAGCACGGTGGAAGCTCACTGGCCGTCGCCTGGCAACATGCAGGAAGCGGTACGCGGAGACCCCGTTGCCTAGCAACCAACCCGGAAGTGCGGCGAGCATCACCGAACGGGGGGTAGGGGGGAGAAGAGGCCTCGATTTCCTGTGAAATCTTTATTTATTGGTTAATTTTCCTTTTTATACAGTCTTAAGGTGACGCCTCCTGCCTTCCCTCCCCTCCCCACCCCCCCGGGCTATTTACATCGGTGTCAATAAGGCTTCGGATCGACCCCCCCATCCCCCCTTTATCCTCCCCTCTCCCATCCCGGGTATAAAGAGGGGGGAGATCCCCACCCCTGACACCCCCGGGTGGGGGATGGGAGGTTGTGTTCATTGGGGACCCTCCCCCCCATCGTTTTGGAAGCTGAGGGCACCCAGAGGTGCTCCAGGAGTGGCTGCGGGGGGACCAGCCTCTGCCCAGCCGGCTCGGGGAGGTCCCTCACGGGCTGCTCTTCCTCAGTGCCTTTGGTCCGGAGGTGGAGCATGCGAGGGGTCACAGCTCAACGTGGGCCATGGAACAGGGCGTCACGGCCACCTACGAGGAGTGGAGAGGGACCGACATTGGCACAGCAGAGAATCATGGAATCCCAGAGTGGGCTGGAAGGGACCTTAAAGCTCAGCCAGCTCCAACCCCCAAAGGCACGGGCAGGGAGACCTTCCACTAGAGCAGCTTGCTCCACGGCCCTGTGTCTCTGTGCACTCCCAGGGCATCCTGGGGATACCCCTAGAGAATCCCAGAGAATGCCTGCAGCACCTCCAGAGCTCCCCATGGACCCAGTCAGAGCTCCTGCGTCACAATGACCTTGGGGACATGGAGACCACAGGGGTGGCTGATTCTGGAACTCCCCGTGTTCAGGTGTGTGAGGCCGCAGAATCCCATGGAACCCTCCAGCAGAGGCACCGGGAGACGAGAGCTGCCCCACGGAACACAAGCTACCGGTGGAGGAGGCAAGAGCAGCTTCTCTGGTGGTTCCCGTCTTGGTGTCTCGGAGCCGGTGCCGCCTGTGGACACAGGAGCGTGGAAGGAGGTGGGTGGCGATGGCGATCTTGGGGTGCTGTAGGAGTTGCCAGAACACCTCAAGAGACTTCCCCAGAGTGGCTGCTTTGGACTCGGTGTGTGAGTTGGGCTGGCTGAGCCGGCAGCGGAGCGCTGCGGCTGCCGAGGGATGATCCTGGGATCTGCCCTCATTTCTTGTGGGGAGAGCAAGGGCCTGTGGGGATGGGAGAAGGGGGAACGATTTTAACGTGACAGAGAGGGGAGATTGAGATGAGATCTTAGAAGTTGTTCCCTGTGAGGGTGGTGGAACAGTGGCACAGGGTGCCCAGAGAAGCTGTGGCTGCCCCATGGCTGGCAGTGTTCAAGACCAGGTTGAATGGAGCTTGGAGCAAGCTGCTCTAGTGGAAGTTGTCTCTGGCAGTGGCAGGGGTTGGAGCTGGAGGAGCTTTAAGGTCCCTCCCAGTCCAAACCATTGTGTGCTTCCGTGATATCCTCAAGTCCCCTGGGGGGAAGTGAGTGAACAAGCTGTCTGGCTGGGTTTAAACCAGGACAGCAAGGCAAGGCAAGGCAAGGGAAGACAAGGTAACGCCAGGCAAGACAGTCAAGTCCAGGCCAGGAGAGGCAAGACAAGGCAAGGGAAGGGAAGGCAAGGCCCATGAAGGGAAGGCCAGGCCAGGTCAGGCAAGGAAAGGAAAGGAAAGGCAAGACTAGGCAAGGCAAGGCTAGTCCAGGTCTAGACAGGCCATGCAAAGCCAGGTAAGGACAGGTAAGGAAAGGCCAGGCAAGGCCAAGCAGGTCAGGTCCAGGCCAGGCCAGGCCAGGCCAGGCTAATAAAGGCAATGCAAGGCCAGGAAATCACAGGGAAGGCAAAGCCAGGCCAGGCCAGAAAAGGACAGGCCACACAAGGCCATGCCAGGCAAAACCAGGGACAGCAGAGCCCCGGCCAGGCAAGGGCAGGCAAGGTCAGGCAAATCAAGGCCAGCCAGGGCAAGGCCAGGCCAGGCAAGGCCAGGCAAGGCAAGGTAAGGGAAGGCAAGGCAAACTTAGGCCAGGCCAGGCCAGGCAACGCAATGCCAGGTAATATAAGGCCAGGACAGGCAAGGGAAGGCTTGGTAAGGCCAGGCCAGGCAAGGCCAGTCAAGGCCATTAAAGACAAGGCAAGGCCAGGCCAGGAGATGCAAGGCCAGGCAAGGCCAGGCAAGGCAAGGCCATTAAAGACAAGGCAAGACAAGGCAAGGCAAAGAAAGGCCAAGCATGGCCAGGCCATGCCAGGCCAGGCTAGGTCAGAGAAGACAAGGACAGGCAGGGCAAGTCAGTGCAAGGCAAGGCAAGGCGTGGCTAGGCAAGGCAAGGATAGGCCAAGCCATGCAAGGCAAATCCAGACCAGGACAAGCAAGGCAAGACAATGCAAGGCAAGGCCAGGCCAGGCCAGGATAGGAGATGCAAGGCCAGGCAAGGCACAGCAAGGCCAGGCCAGGATAGGAGATGCAAGGCCAGGCAAGGCACAGCAAGGCCAGGCCAGGCCAGGCCAGGCCAGGCAATTCAGTGCAATGCAAGTCAAGGGAAGGGAAGGCAAGGCTGGGCCAGGTAAGGCCATGACAGGCAAGGCAAGGCCAGGCAAGGCAAGGCCAAACCAAGCCAGGCCTGGCAAGGCCAGGTAAGCCAATGCAAGGCAAGACAAGGTAAGGCAAGTCCACGACAGGCAATAGAAGGCCTGGTAATGTAAGGCAAGACCAGGCCAGGAAAGGCCAGGCCAGGAAAGGCCAGGCCAGACCAGGCCAGGCCAGGACCGGTCATACAAAACCAAGGCATGCCAGGCAAGGCCAGCCAAGGCAAGGCAAGGGAAGTAAGGCAAGGCAAGGGAAGGTAATGCAAGGCAATGCAAAGCAAGACTAGGCCAGGCAAGGCCAGTCAACGCAAGGCAAGCAAAGACAAGGCCAGGCCAGGCGAGGCGAGGCGAGGCAAGGCAAGGCAAGGCGAGGAAAGGCTACACAAGGTGAGGAAAGGCTACACAAGGCGAGGAAAGGCAAGGTAAGGCATGTCCAGGACAGGCAATGGAAGGCCTGGTAAGGCAAGACAAGGCCAGCCTAGGAAAGGCCAGGCCAGGCCAGGTCATACAAAAGGAGGGCAGGCCAGGCAAGGCCAGGAAAAGCAAGTCAAGGCAAGACAAGGCCAGTCCAAGACA